AGGGGGCGGGCGGATGGAGGGAGGAAGGCGCGAGGCGAGCTCGGCCGAGCGGCGCGAAGTGTGCGCCGCACGTGGAGGGGGCGGGGCCAGGCCGCGGTGTGACGCCTGCGCGCTGGGCCCCGAGCGTCCCCAAAATGGCACTACGGCTTCGGGTACGAGCACTGGAGAGGGAGGGGACGCCGGCGACAAGTCGCTGCCGTGTGGTGCAGCGGGAGGTCAGTTTACCGATCTGGGTCGTACAAATCTAAAGGACTGAGCGCGTTTCTCCCTCCCAAGCCTCAATCCCGGGTTCCCCGTAGCCGGGGCACGTACTTCAGCGCCCTCTTATGGCCTCCTTGGGCACTGCACACAGATGCAGGGGCTTGCACACAGACACACAGAATTGAAGATAAATTGTCTTTTTTTTTAAAAAAAAAAGATTTATTTATTATGTATACAGCATTCTTCCTCCGTGTATGTCTGCAAGCTAGAAGAGGGCACTAGATCTCATTACAGATGGCTGTGAGCCACCATGTGGTTGCTGGGAATTGAACTCAGGACTCTTAACCTCTGAGCCATCTCTTCAGCCCCCTAATTTAAGTCTTTTAAAAAACATACATGCAGGATTGTCCAGTGGTTCTTCCTGTGGCTGTAACAGTGCACATTAGAAGTGGTGCCATTCTAAATGGTCAGCAGTCTCAGCACCAGGAAAGGACTGAGTCAGTGGTCTTCTGTAGACCAGAGCTGTTTGCTGTTTGTTCGGGTTTTTTTGTTTTGTTTTGTTTTGGGTTAGTTGGTTAGTTTTGTTTGTTTTTATTCAAGACAGGGTCTAACTGGGTAGCCCTGGCTGTCCTGGAACTCGCTCTGCAGAACGGGCTGGCCTCAAACTCACAGAGATCCTACTGCTTCTGTCTCCAGAGTGCTGGGACTAAAGGTGTGCGCAACCACACCACTCTGACTATAGCTGTTTGAATATCCTGCCATACTGAGGATTGAACCCAAGGCCTCCACCTTCGCACTGCACACACAGCCCTGATCTCACTTTTTATTTGGAGGCCAGGACTGAGGCTTAAGTCGTTAGCCTAGAATGCCAAAACCTTGGGTCCCAGCCTCACACCCTGTAAATCAGGTTCAGGGGCACATACCTGTTCTCCTAGTACTTGAAAGGTGGAGACAGGAAGATTGTAAGTGCAGGAGCAAGGGGAGGAAGCTATCTGCCCTCCTTTGTTTGCAGAGTCAGGGTGCCAAGCCACTTTCAGAGAGACTAGCGCGGGTCAAGGGACATAACTGAGGAGGGACAGCTGTGTGGATGCTGGCAGGGCTAGAAGGGAATGGCATCTGCATGCTGTCTTGGAGAGGTGAGCCAAGGGCTCAGATCTGGTTGTCCAGATCTCACGTTAGACTGGAGGGACTCAAACTCCTAAATGTTATCCTCTGGCTTCCACGTGTATGCCATGGCAGGCATGCCCACACGCTCAACAAGACCCAATGGGGAAGTCACCCCAGTATGGCTGGTGACTGACTGAACATGTTATTCGACAGGGTAGCAGAGTAGAAGACAGTACACTAGGACATCTGCAGACAAATGGAAGGATGCCCTGACTCCAGTGACATGATGCTCAGAGGCATGGACCAGACCCAGAAGGATACACACTGCAGGATCCCACTCCCAGGAGGGATGGATGGAGTTGGTGTGGAATGGGGGCAGAGCTGGAAACACAGGCATGCAACCCTTGAGAGACTGAGGCAGGGCAGTCTCAGGTACAGCCTGAACTACGAAGTAAAACCATATCTCAATAACCCTAACAAAGCACCAACCTTGCCCATCAAAATCCCAGCAAAATTCTTCAAAGACCTTGAAAAAACGGTACTCAACTTCATTTGGAAAAGCAAAAAACCCAGGATAGCCAAAATAATCCTGGACAATAAAAGAACTTCTAGAGGCATCACAATCCCTGACTCCAAACTCTACGACAGAGCTACAGTACGGAAAACAGCCTGGTATTGGCATAAGAACAGACAGGAGAACCAATGGAACCGAATAGAAGACCTGGATATCAATCCACACATCTTCGAACACCTGATCTTTGATAAAGAAGCAAAAAAATATATATATATCAAATAGAAAAAAGAAAAGCATATTTAACAAGTGGTTCTGGCATAACTGGATATCAACATGTAGAAGAATGAAAATAGACCCATATCTATCACCATGCACAAAACTCAAGTCTAAATGGATCAAAGACCTCAACATAAAGTCATCCACACTGAACCTCATAGAAGAGAAAGTGGAAAGTACATTTGAACGCATTGACATAGGGAACCACTTCCTAAATAGAACCCCGGCAGCACAGACACTGAGAGAAACAATTAATAAATGGGACCTCCTGAAACTGAAAAGCTTCTGTAAAGCAAAGGACACGGTCAACAAGACAAAACGACAGCCTACAGAATGGAAAAAGATCTTCACTAACCCCACATCAGACAGAGGTCTGATCTCCAAAATATACGAAAAAGAAATTGGACACCAAAAGATCACATAATCCAATAAAAAATGGAGTACAGACCTAAACAGAGAAGTCTCAACAGAGGAATCTAAAATGGCTGAAAGATACTTAAGGAAATGTTCAACATTCTTAGTCATCAGAGAAATGCAAATCAAAACAAGTGAGATTCCATCTTACACCTGTAAGAATGGCCAAGATCAAAAACACTTGTAACATGACAGGCCGGCTTGTTGGGGTATCTGTCCCGCCCAGTGCTCCCCAGCCAGCAAGCCCCAAAGGAAAATCAACCACACAGAGATCTCTATAAGTTATAAAGCTGATTGGCCCATTAGGTCAGGTTACTTATTAACTCTTATAACTTATCTTAACCCATTATTCTGATCTATTTTAGCCATATGGCTTGGTACCTTTTTCAGCTGGGCCAGTTACATGCTGCCTCTTCGGTGGTCTGTGCAGGAGTGGCAGAGGGAGTTTCCTGTTTCCCAGAATACTCCCAATCTCTTTGCTCCACCCCTACTTCCTGTCTGGCTTTCCCGCCTATATTGCCTGCCTGGCCAATCAGCGTTTTATTAAAATATGATTGACAGAATACACACAATTCTCCCACACCATTTCCCTCTTTTTTTAAAAAAAACAAAGGAAAATACCCATAGTCCATTTGTTGGGAATGTGGACATAGTATTTTAGGCTACTTCCTGCTGGTTGGGGGCGCTGATAATCTTATGGGGACCTAAAGAAAATTTAGAGTTATAATCAAGTCCTGACTGGAGTATCCTGTGAGACCTGATCATCTCAGGCAGCGCCTTGAATCCATTTTGGATGTAGAACTCAGACATCTGGGCCATCTGTTCCTACCGGAGATTGCTCAGTTGGTCTCCCTTGGCCAAAGATGATTTTTTGTAACTCTGAATAAATCTAGAGCCTCTCATTTTCTGTGGAAACAAAAGCAAAATCTCTTCTCCAAAGTAGCATACATTTTGACTTCAATTTTGAAGCAAAGGTATTTTTAAAATATCTATCTTGGATTAATTCAGCAGCGTTTATAAGCAAATATCTTTTAGTAGCTGTTGCTCCTTTCTCAGCATTTAAACAATTTAAAGAGAGCATAATAACATACAGTATCAAGATTCTCTGTGTATTTTCCATCTTTATGTGGCTTTATTTTAACCTCTATTTTTTTTATTTTTATTTTTACTTTTTGAGACGGGTTCTCTGTATATCTTTGTCCTGGAATAACTCTGTAGACCAGGCTGTCCTTGAACTCACAGAGATCCCATTGTCTCTGCCTCCCCAGTGCTGGGATTAAAGGCATGTGCTATCACACCTTGAACTCACAGAGATCTGTCTGTCTCTGCCTCCCAGACATTGGGATTGAAGGCATGTATTACCACACCTTGAGGTTACAGAGGTCAGTCTACCTCTGCCCTTTGAAGTCACAGAGGTCAATATGCCTCTGCCTCCCAGGCGTTGGGATTAAAGGTGTGTACCATTACACCCAACTACTCTCTTTCTTTCCTTTTAACTTTAAGAACTTTAACTTTTAACCTGTATATATTTTTAACACATTGTAAATCATTTACAGGTTTTCTTTCTCTTTGAATCTCTCTTTACTGTATATCTCTCTTTTCTACAGGAGTCTTTAAGGAGAGGATGAAAGCCGTGGCTTTGACAGCTAGATCCAGCCCATTCCTTAGCTGTACAGCCTCGTGGCTGAGGTACTGGCTGCAGCCATTTTTCTTGCCACAGCTCTATGGCATTTCAAAGTCCATGTCAGCAAGCAAGCTGCAGCATTCTGCTCACAGACCACACTCAGTTGGACTGCCTGCCTGAAAGAGTCAGAGATTGCCCTGGCAGGACAGCCCAAAAAGCCGGCATTTTAAAACAGCAGCA